GACTAATGGGATTGTAGATAATTTTCCCTTTTTTTCTCTTGTTTTAAGCAGTTTTCTATATTGGACATGTCCTATTTTGTAATCTGCAAAAATCTGAAATAAAATGTAAAAGGGAAAAATGCTAGGTGTGGTAGTGCATGCCTATAGTTCTAGCTACTAGGGAGGTTGAGGCAGGAGGATCACTTGAGCCCAGGAGTTTGAGACCAGCCTGACTGATATAGCAAGATCCCATCTCAAAAAATAAAAAATGAAAATAAATAAATAAAAAGGAGGAGAAGGCCAGGCGCAGTGGCTCACACCTGTAATCTCAGCACTTTGGGAGGCCAAGGTGGGTGGATCACCTGAGGTTGGGAGCTGGAGACCAGCCTGGGCAACATAGTGAAACCCTGTCTCTACTAAAAATACAAAAATTAGCCAGATGTGGTGGTGCACACCTGTAATCTCAGCTACTCCAGAGGCTAAAGCAGAAGAATCACCTGAACCCAGGAGGCGAAGATTGCAGTGAGCTGAATTTGCACCACTGCACGCCATCCTGGGTGACAGAGTGAAACTCTGTCTCAAAAAAAAGGTGGGGGAGGGGATTGAAAAAGAAAGCACAAGAGTGAGCAAGTCAACTCTCTATATAAGTAAGCTGTTCTGTACATTTACATATTGCATTCTAGGTATGCCCTTGATGAAGGTAGTTAACCTCTCTAAGCCTCAGGTCCTCTCTGTAAAATGGGAATCATTATTGCACCTATCTTATGGTATTGTTATCTGGATTAAATTAAATATTCTGTATGTAGTGCTTAGCAGTGTCTGACATACCATAAACACTTCATAAATATTAGCCATTACATTACTCTGGGACACTGGCTAAAACTCCTAGGCTACCAGAATTGACTTAACTGCTCTTGTCTTCTTTTCACCTTAGGTATCTACTGACCTGGTTATCGCTTCTTCCTTTAAGGAATATTAGAACACTGCTGGGGATGGGCTGACAAACATACCAGTATTGACGCATCCAGTCCCCTGAGAGGTCTCATCTGATTAGGGACATTCATTCTGAGAACCAGGTCTCAGAATTCTCTTTTGGATGCATCAAAGTCCAACTGATTCTGACAGCCAACTTTGTGTGTATCCCTCAGAGAAGCCTTGGGGCCCAGGTTCCACACCATTCTGTATAAAGTGGAAAGTTAGGAGATAGCTGATTCGCTTTCTCTATAGAATTATCTTCCTCACAGAATTATCAACTCACTATGGGGGTCTATCGCACAGTGGGTTTCAGTTTCTTTTTTTCCATTGCTTTCCTTGTTTTCTATTTTCATTCTTTTCTAAAATTTTCATTTCCAGAGCTGCTTCTGGGCTCTCTTCTCCCTGCGCCAATCCACCCCCACCTCCTCCCCTTTCTCCCTCCTTCCTTCCCTTTCTCACTCTTCCTCTTCATCTCTCTTGAGACAGGTCTAGTGGCCTGGTTGCCATCTGCTGCCTTTTTTTTTATGAGGTTGAGATCAGATGGCATCTAATCGATCGTCATGGTCTCCATGGTTACCAGGGTGACAGAGTACTTGGGAGAGACACATTCTCGAGCCTGGGGCTGTCAGACCATTCCTGAGAGGGGAAAGGAAACAAAACCTCTTCCATCATATTTACACCTTTACATCTTTCTCAAATGCAGCAAAACACAGACCCTGTTTATGTTTTACACAGTGACCTAGTGGCTTGAGGCCAGGGAATGCAGAGTGGCTTTTTTCTATTTAAAAAAAATGCACAAGGACAGAAGTAAAGGGTTTTTGTTTTTTTGTTTTTTTGTTTTGTTAGCCTCAGAACCATCCCTTCCCCTCCCTGCTCCATACAGACCATCCATTTTATCATTTTTTTTCTTTCCCCTTTAAATGTTTGGGAATTAATTCAGTAATTCTACTGAGCTGTTATTCTTCCAATAAATCATGGTAGTTTTAAAACTGACAATTGACAGCTATTTGCTTTAGGGAAAGAAACAGCCCTCATAAAATTACCAACACTTTAACTTTTGATTAGAATCAGTGTTAATGTTAATGTTAGTTGTTCTTTGGCCAAGCATTATTTGTAATATGGGAAGCCATTTTTCCCACAAAGAGCAGCTTCATATGATAAAATGTAAACAAAATGACCCTTATTGTTAATGCAAAAAGTGCTCAGGCATGACTGTGGTCTGTAATGCTTTAATGCCTAGGGGCTGGCCAATCTGGCAGAAATACATCCAGGCCTTATTCTAATAGAATATGATGGCGTTGACAGCCCAGATCTGGTTGAAAGAGACATGAGAAAGATCTTGGTAATAAGGATATATAGCTAATGGGAAAAGGGCTAGATTTCTGAAGTAACTCAGAAACAAGAAAATAACCAATGATCATACCATTAAATCATGTTAAAACTGCATAAGGAATTCCACCCTTTGCTTATTAAAACACCTTTAACATTAGGCACAGATGACTTGGGCTATAAGCTGCTTTACTTCCTTTTCTGGAAATATGGTATGCTTCTTAACACTTATTAGAAATTCTCCTCTTTTTCTGTCTTTGTCAGAGAAAACCAAACTTAAAATTATAGCACAGGTACAAGGCCTATCTATAGGTGATTTTTTTTTTTTTTTTCATTTAAAGAAAAAATGTAATGTCAAACCATGAGCAGTGCTTGCTTCCTTCCTTCCTTCTTTTGTCTCTGACTTCCCTTTGGACCTCCTGCATCTTCTTCTGTACAGTTCCTAGTAAGATTCAGATATATTCATTTGCAGTGCCTTTGGCTGTTAAGCAAATAGCACACTGATATTTGAAATAGAAATGATCCCATCAATTGGAGGAGAGACTTTAATATAAAGGGAAAATAATGTATCAAGAACAAAAACCCTCTTACTCATTTTGCACCTTTGCATCTTAGCTAATGCCTGCCTCTCCTTCCCTCTCTGCAGTTCCTCTTATTCTCTCCCTCTTTCCTAGTGAGTGCAATCATTGAATGGCCAGGGGAACTGCTTTTATTTAAGTCTCACCTCCCCAGAAAAGCTTTCCCCAGATTCCCCATCACAGACTTCTGAACTCTTAGTGTTCTTTGGTCTGTGCCTCTCATTCAGGACTTAGCTGTGCTGCCTTTCGCCCCGGCTTATGTATTTGTCATGTTTATCTCTTGCCTCTTATTTACACTGTAAGCTCCAGAAGGGAGAGACCATTTCCTCTGCTTCTGGGCTTCTCCCTTACTTTGTACCTAGTTAGCTCTTACTAAATGTTTGATAAAGATAACAGCAGCCTGTTGTGCCTACAGGGCCAGCGATAGCTGTTTTTTCTTTGAAGACCAGGAACCAGATTTGATTCTTAGCATTTCTTCAACTGCAGGGATTTTACTTTGTGTCAGCCAAGAGGCTTTCCTTACCTCCTTGTCTTCAACACTCTTGTGCACAAGCTTGCTTCTCAGAGAAGGTGGGTTCTACCTTGGAAGGAAATGAGTCGTTTCCTCCCATCAGGACAACTGCCACAGCATGGTGTCAACTCACTCTTGCCTTTCATAAATTGAGTTTGTCAGTGCTCAGCGACACAGCTGAGTGAAATGTTGTGTGATGCGGGCTGTCTCCTGGGAGAGAGAAACTGGCATAAACCACATCCTAATGGGATCCAGAAACAAAGAAGCGTGAATGAAGTGTTAATTGCATTCATAAAGACATTAACAAAGGAATTAAAATGGCAGAAGCTTCCGTCCCCCACTCAAGATTCACAGAAAAATATGTTATCCAAAGAATGTTCCAACAATAATCATCCAAGTTTATTGCTTGCCCATTGGGGAAATAACTCTTGATACATATGAACTTTTCAAAGAACATTTTGTGTCCATTATTTTGAGTATATTAACTAACAGACAGTTTAATCCACCCTACCTCCAGTTCTTTGCTTCCTTTTGTATGATTTAAGTTTCCAAAAAAATCCAGAGGCATTTTCAATGCTGCTTCATTAACCATAAGGATGCCTGTTAACAGTTTGAACCTAATCAATCCTACAGTTCTTATTAGAGCAAAATGCTCATTATCTGGGAGATTTTTTGCTTTTTGAAATAAAATTACAAGACTGGGGGTTTATTTTACAGTCCCTCTTGAATATTCCTGAGATGATCTGCAATGTGGGCAAGCCGGGGCTCCCTCCCCAGCCCTGTGGCAGGGCCCCCAGCTGCTGACAGCAGGGCTAAGCTGGCAAAAGGTCAGGAGGCTGCATTTCACTGAAGATGGATCGCACAGATGAATATTGCGCCTGCTTAATGAAGTCAAGGCCATGGATTTGGGGCCTTTTATGGTTTTTCTTGTTTCACTCAATTTCACCTTCATAGACCACGCCACTAATTCCAGCCAATCATTTTGTAGATATCTGCAACTGGTGACTAAGGGACTAGATAAAAGTAAATGAATCTAAAAAACAGTGACCAGAAATCAGAAGTCTCTGTGCCTATAACAAACTCAGAATTAAAAAAAAAAAAAAAAAAAAAAGCGTGCAGAGTGTCTCATGTGATCCCTGCAGAAACTCTGTGAGATATATGGAGCTGACATTCCTACCCTCATCCTGCAGATAAGAAAGCTAAAACTCAAAGACATTAAGTAAAGTCTCAGGATTATAATTCAGATATTTTTTATCATCTGACTGCTCTTTCTACTGTAGTCATCTAACCCTCCCAGGATCTCATTTAATTCTCACAAGAATCCTATGAAGTAAGACATGCTGTATAAACGAGTGGGTTGATTTTTCCAGGAGTCATTTTTTTTTTTTTTTTTTTTTGAGATGGAGTCTCACTCTGTTGCCCAGGCTGGAGTGCTGCAGTGGCGCAATCTCAGCTCACTGCAACCTCCGCCTCCCAGGTTCAAGCGATTCTCCTGCCTCAGCCTTCTGAGTAGCTGGGACTACAGGCGCACACCACTATGCCCAGCTAATTTTTGTATTTTTAGTAGAGACGGGGTTTCACCATGTTGGCCAGGATAGTCTTGGTCTCTTGACCTCGTGAGAGGCCTCCCAAAGTGCTAGGATTACAGGTGTGAGCCACCATGCCTGGCCTCCAGGAGCCATATTAATGCAACTAGAGGAGCAGGTGCTCTCAAGCCCCTCCTTAGAATTCGGCTGAACCCCCTGGTTATCTAAAACGCTATATTTTTCAGTCTTGTCTAAATCAATCATATTCATGGATATGGCATCAACTCAATAGTGCATGTTTAAAAGTGATGAAATTCTAGTCAGTTGTACGCACCTGGGCTCATCAACACAGACTGGTGAGTGGAAGGGGGCTCAGAAGTGCACATTCAGCATCTTAGGAAAGCTCCTGCATAGTTATTAGCATCAGACCAATTGAGTCTCTGGTTGCTTCTAATTCTGGTGCAAACATTGGGAACACTTCCTCCCAGAAATGAGCTCTACATAAAATTCAGGTTATATGCTGTTTTGTATTAGTTGTGCTTAGTCTCATACACGTTACCATACTCTCAAGAGGTGATTATTTCTTATTAGAACACATCATTTATAGCACTTGATTTCAGAATTTTCAAATAATAGCAAATTTAGCTCCAGTGTAGCCATGCCACCAAGTTGTTCAGAAGTCTCATTCGAACAGCATTTTGAATTATCTACAGAATTTATTAATATTATTTGCATTTATTTTATTTATGTTTTTATAATTTTGTGTCTTTATTAGAAGGTTCTATTATGTGTTCCTAAGATAGAAGACTAATTTAATCTTAAATATCTATGGCTAGGTGTGGGATGTAAGATGTATAATAAATAGAAAAAAAATCAAAGTGAGCAGTTGGTCAGTTATATATTCAGTCTAGACAACTGAAGTTAAAGCCTTACTTTTTCATCAATAGCAGAAGGATTGAAATTTCATTCATTATATTTATGTCAAAATTAAGAGAATTAATTCATGCACCTAAGTCAGAACTGTGTCACTATCATAGGGTGGTTATTTTCCATTTCCATTTATAAAATCAAAATGGATGAAGTTATTTTCTAGGACTGCACTGTCCATTATGGTAAACTACTAGACATATGTGGCTATTTAAATTAAAATTATGTAATCAAAATTAAATAAAATTAAAAATCCAGTTCCATATTTTAAATCCTCAATAGCCATGTGGTTAGTGGCTATTGTATTGGACCATGGAGATTTGCAGAATATTTTTGTCACTGCAGAGTGTTCTACTGAACAGTGCTGTTCTAGAGCAAACAGTTGGAATTCACACATACCACAGAAATACATTCTATATCCAATCATATAGTCGTTTGTAAAACACCATATACAATTTAGTGACAGTGACTTGGAGCACCATCCTGCTGGGGCTTGGGCATCAAAGAAGGACGGTCTGCAGACTTCTCTCTGAGTGTGGACTGGCCCTGTGTGTCATGGGAGAGGATGATGAGACAAATCTCTGGAGAAAGGGCAGGTGCAGATGAGCCATTTCCATTTTCCACTCCTGCAGCTCCCACAACCTCGAGTCCAGACCTGCCGCCAAGACGTGCTTGTACAGAAGCCCAAACCAAAGCACATTTTGGATTAATTCTCTGGCCGTAATTTCTTTGCAAAATCTATCTTGTGCCTTTGATTAAGGACTTTCTTTCATTTTTGCCATGAATTTTAATGAATCTGAACTTAACAGTATTTTCCACCAACCAGAACATTTAGCACAGGTGTTGACCAAAAGAAATAAGGCTACAGACAAGCAAGAATCATAACAAAACTGAAAAATATAGTCCAGAGCTCCCCGCTGAACACTTCAAGTGAATGTCATTGGCTCATTCTCATTGACAATCAGCAAGTAAACATCTACAGACTAAAGTAAGGTCTCTCCCTACTCTGGGAAAGGTGGGACCGTTCTTCGGTATTTGTCATATTAGCCACTTTAAACTTGTAAAAACTGAAAAGTAATAAATCACCAATCATCTTCTGTTCTCCGATGTACTAGGACTTGGCTATATTAAGCAAGAGATTGAGGCAGAACGTTTTCACAAGATTGCTCAAAGTCATTTGCAGCAAGCACATGAGATATACAACTCTCATTGCTTTTATCACATAATTCTTCAAAGCAGCCTTATTGGGCACATGTTTTATTTTCTTGGTAGATTGTAAATCCCTTGAAACTTCTAATTATACATATTTGCATCCCAAAGTACCTTATACAGCGGGAGGTGCTCCGTACCTTGGTTCAACCTTATCAATATTCATTGAACAAATGAATGAATGAATGCATAAAGGAGATCCCTGGTAACAAATTCATCTAGCCTAATTATGGTAAGTTTTGGCTGATAGGTATAGAAGAGTGGGGGGTGGGGGGAGAGGTGCAAAATTTGAGAAGAAACATAGATTGTGAGCTCATTGAAAAGGTATCATTTCAAAGTTTCCTCTGAATCTCCATAGGGATATGATGAAAGAGAAAATATTTTTAAGGGCAACTGTGAATTTCAATAACTGGAGCAAAGGATCAGAGAAGAGTTGCATCCAATCTATTGTCTTTCAGAAGAATTTCTTTGCTGACATTCTGCCTGGAAGTAGGAAACATAAAAATATTGTATTAATTTGTAGTGTATAATTTTGTATTAATAGCCAAGTGGCACGATAATGGAATCGATTGACATTGAAAATAGGATGGACATAATTGAACTGAAGCCCATATACTTTTTCACAAACTTGAATGGAAATGAATCCCAAAATGAAAGTGACCACTTTGTAATCTATCCTCATACTCAGATCACCCCTGATAAGTCAGCATTCAACCCAATCTTCAATATTTCCAAGTAAAGAGAACCATAGGGGTATGTTAAAGGCCATAAAAGGGAGTTTAAGCAAATATTTCTAACCTCTTTTGTGTTTTAACAATGCCAGTCACCAACTTAAGCAAGTTTTTCGACGCAACTTTCTAGGTCATGTATCTTTAAATCACCATGACTCATATTTGTCTCTGTTCCAACTGTTTTCTGGTCTCTCTCTTGCTGAAATGGTTTCAATTAGAGCCTGGAAAGGGTTGATACAGAACTCTTGCACAGTGCTTGCCAACATGGGAATTGGTTTTAAACACTGCTGTTTTTCATCCAGAAAAAAATTCTCCCTTCCCGCCCTTGAGTTAGAAGAGATTATTCTCAGACAGGCGTTTAGCTGATTTTTAATGTCAAAGAAACTTAATTTGCAAACTCGTTAGAAACTCTTTAGTAAAAGCTGCCTAGTAAAACAGATGATTAATATTGGTAAGATCCTCATTTGCATATTAATTAGTCTCCATACTCAACTAATTAAAACTGCACTGCCTATTTGTGGACTTTCTTCTAGACTGCAGCCTTGTTTCTATGTATAAGCTTGTATTTTAACTAAAATAAGGGTTAGTGATTATGACTGTACTTTTCTTAACATACTGATTTTTCCATCTGTGATACTTAGGACTCCTCAAGGTCCTAGAACCATCTTGAAACTACCTTTGCACAAATTATAACGGTGAGAAAACTGTGACGTAGGAAAATTATGACAGCAAAAGAAATCTGTCTCAACCTACTCCATCTTGTTTTTAACATCCATGCTGTCCTTGTTCATTCCGGGCGTAGGCCAGGCTAACCATGAAAGGAATTTCTTTTTTTTTTTTTTTTTTGAGACGGAGTCTCGCTCTGTCGCCCAGGCTGGAGTGCAGTGGCCGGATCGCAGCTCACTGCAAGCTCCGCCTCCCGGGTTCACACCATTCTCCTGCCTCAGCCTCCCGAGTAGCTGGGATTACAGGCGCCCGCCACCTCGCCCGGCTAGTTTTTTGTATTTTTTAGTAGAGACGGGGTTTCACCGTGTTAGCCAGGATGGTCTCGATCTCCTGACCTCGTGATTCGCCCGTCTCGGCCTCCCAAAGTGCTGGGATTACAGGCTTGAGCCATCCCGCCCAGCCAAGGAATTTCGTTTATAGTTTAACTTTGAAACAAAGATGGTAATAGTCCCTTCCCAAAACAAACCCCCTTTTTGCCTGGGAACCAGACCACCTTTGTAAAACTAACAAATTAGCCACGAGATTAGAAATTATGGCTCAGGAGTCATGCAGTCAAGGCCACAAGATTCTAAACTTCCTGGTATACTTTGTATCTGTGTTTCCACCCAAATCTCCTGTCTAATTGTAATCCCCAGTGTTGGAGGTGAAGCTTGGTGGAAGGTGATTGGATCATAGGGGTGGATTTCTCATGAATGATTTAGCACGGTCTCCTTGGTGCTGTTCTTATGACGGTGAGTCTCGTGAGATGTGGTTGTTTAAAAGTGTGTGTTACCTGCCCCTACCCATACCCGCACTCTCTTGCTCCTGATTCTGCCATATTAGATGCCTGGTCCCCTTTTGCCCTTCAGCCATGATTGTGAGCTTTCTGAGGCCTCCCCAAGAGCAGAAACCATAAGGCTTCCTGTACAGCCTGCAGAACCATGAGCCAATTAAATCTCTTTTTTTTATAAATTACCCAGTCTCAGGTATTTCTTTAGAGCAATGCAAGAACAGACTAATATACTCCACAACTGCTCCAACAAATAACATCACTATTGTAAAACCTAAGATTGGCGTTTGAGATATTTTTCAGACCCTGCATTTTGATGAACAAACTGGCACCACCCAGACTGGTAAACTGGCCCAACTAGTTCTGTGATCCCACCCAGAAACTGAAGACAGCAAGAACTCGCTTCGACCCCTCTATGATTTCAGCCCCCACCCAACCAAAGCATTCCTCCGCTCCCTAGCCCCCTGCCCACCAGATTACCCTTAAAAAACCCTAGTCTTCAAATGTTTTGGGAGGCCGATTTAAGTAATAAAACTCTGGTTTTCTGTTTAGCCAGCTTTGCATTTATTAAACTATTTCTCTATTGTAATAATGCTGTCTTAGTAAATTGGCTCTGTCTGTGCAACAGGCAGGAACAACTGTGAGGGCAGTTACAATCTCTAAGCAGCCATTTTACTGGGCCAAATCACTTTTGTCCCAGTATAGCCATATGTTGCTTAATGACGTGAATATGTTTTGTGAAATGCATCATTAGGGGATTTTGTCACTGTGTGACATCATATAGTGTGCTTATACAAACCTAAACGGCACAGCCTACTACACACCTAGGCTATACAGTTTAGCTCATTCCTCCTGGGCTACAAACCTGTACAGTATGTTACAGCCCTGACTACTGTAGGCAATTGTAACACAATGGTAAGTGTTTGTGTATCTAAAAGTATCTAAATATAGAAAAAGTGCAGTAAAAATACAGCAGTATAATCTTATGGGACCACCATGAGAGCTGTGGTCTGTTGGTGACTGAAACCATGTTGTGCAGCACATGACCTTATTTGTGAGCTTCTTCAGATTTTGATGGGAAGAAAACAGTTGGATGACACAGTGACTGGCAATAATTAAAGTGAAAAGGTACCAAATTGTACCTCAATATTTGGTGTTTTTAAGTCTTGTTCTAGGCTGGGTGCAGTGGTTCACACCTGTAATCCCAGCACTTTTGGAGGCCGAGGTGGGCGGATCACCTGAGGTCGGGAGCTCGAGACCAGCCTGACCAACATGGAGAAACCCCGTCTCTACTAATAATAAACAAATTAGCCAGGTGTAGTGGCACATGCCTGTAATCCCAGATACTTGGGAGGCTGAGGTGTGAGAATCGCTTGAACCCAGGAGGCAGAGGTTGCGGTGAGCCAAGATCATGCCATTGCACTCCGGCCTGGGCAACAAGAGCGAAACTCCATCTCGAAAAATAAATAAATAAATAAATAAATAAGGTAAATCTTGCTATATAAATGAATATAACTTTCCAGTATAATTTTTTATATTTAAACTTAGCTACTTTAAAATTATTTAATCATTATTTTACTATTTAATTTTTAGTAAAGAATTATTGGGTGGGAAAGCAGGTTAATTTATTGTTAAAAATTATGCTTGCAGAAAACCTAGTGGTTTGGATCACAAGACCCTAGCTTTTATTGATGAGAATGAATTTCCACTGTGGACAAAACAAAACCAACTAAATAAACAAAAATAAAAATACCTATGAAAGGCCAGGCATGGTGGTTCACACCTGTAATCCCAGCACTTTGGGAGGCCAAGGCAGGCAGATCACAAGGTCAGGAGTTCGAGACCAGCCTGGCCAACATGACGAAATCCCATCTCTACTAACTAAAAATACAAATATTAGCCGGGCGTGGTGGCGGACATCTGTAGTCCCAGCTACTTGGGAGGCTGAGGCAGGAAAATTGCTTGAACCTGGGAGGCGAAGGTTGCAGTGAGCCAAGATGGCACCACTGCACTCTAGCCTGGGTGACAGAGCGAGACTCTGTCTCAAAAAAACAAAACAAAACAAAAAAAACCCACCAGCTATGGAAAGAAACAACCTTTACGTACAGAGTTGTCAAATGAGATTCAGGAGAAATTATATCAGTCCAATAATTGAGTGACATTGACCAAATTGCTGAATTTCTCTTTCCTGTGTTACAACAGAAAAGAAATATGCACAGAATATCGACATCAGGCATTTTCCTGTGACACTGCTCCCCGAATTGAGTAAGGTGTCACTATTAGATTCTTCCATAGCCCCCCGTGTTTACTCTTCTCATAGCCTGTACCTCATGGTACTATAATCATATCTTTATTTGTTCCTACTCCTTATTGGATGCTTCTTCACAGCACAGTCTCTGTCTTGTCTATCATTATATTTCCCAGTGCTTAGCATTATCACAGGCATTATATATCCCAGTGCCTGTGATATTTAAATAATTGCCAAATAAATAAATGAATAAACAAACATATTAGTACATGGATAAAAAAATAAAGAAGGCATGTGTTTTAATTATTTATGACTGTATGACAAAAAGCTCAAAAACTTAGAGACTAATAACAATAATTTACTATTTCTCATGATTCTGTGAGTTGCCTGGAAAGCTCTTCTGCTGTTTCACCTGAGCTCACTTATGGTACTGCATTCAGTTGGGGGATTTCCCGGGGGTTGAGCTCAGTTGAGACAACTGAGGATCTGGACCTTTCTCTCCGTATGTCTTTCATCTTCAGGTTGGCTCCTTGGACTTCTTAACGTGATGAGAGCAATGTGGCAATGTGCAGACACTGAACTTACATCATGTTTGCTGACGTCTCTTAGACCAAAGCAAATCATTTAGCCAAGCCTAGAATAAATGTGGGAAGAAATTACACATGGGCATGAATACTGTATTTGGGAGACCCTGAGTGTAATAATGAAGCACAAATGTCTCTACCTTAAGGGATTTCTTAATCCAGGGGTGTTCAGTCGTTTGGCTTCCCTGGGCCACATTAGAATTGTCTTTGGTCACACATAAAATACACTAATACAATAGCTGATGAGCTTTTAAAAAATCACAAAAAAGGCCGGGCGCTGTGGCTCACGCCTGTAATCTCAGCTCTTTGGGAGATGGAGGTGGGCAGATCACGAGGTCAAGAGATTGAGACCATCCTGGCCAACATGGCGGAAACCCACCTCAACTAAAAATTAAAAAATTAACTGGACATGGTGGTGTGCCTGT